ATGAGAGTTTTGAGGGCCCCCGAGCATGAATGAATGAGAGTTTTGAGAGCCCCCGAGCATGAATGAAGTATTTATTGTAAAGGGGAACCCATCCTGTTCGTACCGCTCTCAATGTGTCTTGGGTGTTCAGGGTGCGAATGCTGTAGACATCGGGAGCTGTCGAGTCTTCCAGAAGGCACCCACCACAGAGGCTGGTGAGTGGTATTATGAAGCCACACTAACCTGGGGTTTCTGGAACTTTCTCTGGGTCTGGATGAGAAAAACCTCTTGGGTAAGAGTTATAAATGGTCCTTTACAGCTGGGTGTGGTGGCATGTATCTGCAAACCCAGCACTCAGAAAGCCAAGGCAGGAAGACCGAGAGTCCCAGGCCAGTCTGGGCTACATGTCCAGACCCTGTCTCAAACAGTAACGACAAAAAGAAGGCGGTTTACAGAAGGAAAGTCACCCATTTTACAAAGAGCTCAGCAGCGTGTGTTCATTCCCTGTTGTTGTTGGGTACATAGGAAATGGGCCCATGAAACCCACTATACAGCTCACCTTTCCTCCAAGTCACTCCTTCTTTCTGTCAGGAGAGAGCATCTAGATGATACTGAGGGGCCGGTTGGGGTTAAGAGCCCTTGGACAGTTCGGACACCAGCACCCATCTTGGGCAGCTTACAACCGTCTTGTAACTCCAGCTCCAGGGAATCTGATGCCCAGTTCTGGCCTCGGTGAACGCTTGGGCGTACGTGCATACTCACATGTGGACACGCATACACATACAAGAGAGGGACCCAGATAGGCTCAGATCAGTTCTTATTCATAGCACGTTGACTTTGCAAGTGGGTATCAGGTCACAAGTCACACCTTGGGGCCTGGGCTTGTGCCTGGGACCTTGCTGGGACCTTCAGGTACCCGATGGTAAGTATCTCTAAGTATGCAGTCCTGGTCATGCACCAGGCTGGTTTTGCCATTGACTCTGTCTTAGGTTTTATTGCTGTGAAGAGACACCATGACCAAGGCAACTCTTTTGTTTTGTTTTTTTGTTTTTCAAGTCAAGGTTTGTCTGGATAGCCTGGGCTGTCCTGGAACTCACTCTGTAGACCAAGCTGGCTTCAAAGTCAGAAATCCGCCTGCCTCGGCCTCCCAAGTGCTGGGATTAAAGGCGTGCGCCACCACCGCCCGGCCCAAGGCAACTCTTATAAAGGACAACATTTCATTGCAGCTGGCTTAGTCTCAGAGGTTCAGTCCATTACCATCATGGTGGGAAGCATGGCAGCATCCAGGCAGACATGGTGCTGGTGGAGCAGCTCAGAGTTTTACATCTTGATCCTCAGGTAGCAAGGAGGAGACTGTGTCTACACTGGGAGGAACTTGAGCTGAGTACAACTCAAAGCCCGCCTACACAGTGACACACTTCCTCTGACAAGGCCACACCCACTCCAACAAGGCCACACCTCCTACTAATGCCAAGTTCCTATGGGCCAAGCAGTCAAACACATGAATGCCTATTCAAACCACCACACTCTCCTACCACAGTTACTACCGGTCTGCAGGGAGAGAGGGAGCTGGTGCCACAGGGATGGCTCAGAAAATAAGAACATTCACTACTCAATCCTAGGGACCTACCTGAGTTTGATCCCTGGAACCTGCGTAAAGGTGAAAGAAGAGAACTGACTCCACAAAGCTGTCAAGTTGTCCTCTGACCTCCACAAGTGCATCATGACATTTATGTACACATGCACACACACGGGCACACGCGCGCGCACACACACACACACACACACATACACACACTAAATTAATAAAACAAAAGGAATTTGCCTTTTCCTTTACGTGGGACAGCCCTGGGTATGAAACACACATTGGTGAGCCAGTGGGCAAGGCAGGCCTGAGGGCACATCCCTGAAGTCAACTTACTTCACAGTAGCTGGTATTGGCAGCTTCTTCTCCCGGAAGCCATCTTCACTAAAGTCAGCAAAACATTCTGGCCTGGATAAAACACTTGAAGCCTTGCATTTGCATGTTCATCTGCATATATTTGCATAACAAACAACCTAGCACCTCTTTTGTATTCGGAAGGATTGCTCTCCTCCGAGTAGGAGCTGGAGAATGTGCTGAGCTTTGGTGAGTGACATTGGAGAATCCATTGTGGATCTATACCAAAAAGATTCCCTCTAGGGAGGTATTGGCTCAGTGCCTCTGAGGCCTGCATTGTGGGCTCTTTAGGACATGACCTCCGTGCACCCTTCAACCACCCTCAAGTCCCAGAAACCTTTCCTTGCTGCTCTGAGCCCAGGCTGCCGAGGAGTGTCACAAAGGCACAGCTGTTTCTCAGGTCTACACACAAAATTGTCGTGGGCTCCAGCTTTACCTGCGTTGACAGCCTCTGAGTTTTGAGAAGTTGCCTGGTTGGTGGCTGGAGGGAGAGTGGCAATCCAGGGATCCAACCTCCTCGTCCCTAAATGCTTTGCAGAGCCGCACCGAATACATGGCAAGTGTGTAGCCAATCTCGGGTCACGATGCTTGAGAGATGATGGACGAGGTGGAATCGCTGTGGATGCTCAGGAGGAGGAGGAGGGCGGCTCAGGAGTGACGGGGACTGGGTTCTGCTTCATTCGGTTGTGTCCCCGGGACCCAGTGCCGTTTGTCTCCGCCTCTAGGTATGCACAGCCTTTCCTGCAGAGTTCGCTAAGTTCAACCATGTCAATATGCACCACGGTTACACCAACGTGGTGGGTCTGGGAGACTCGAGCACATGGAAGATGCCACTCCTCAACCGCTACGTCTACATGTTCCTCGGGCCGCTTTTGGTCCCCATCCTGACGCCACTGGTAGCTCTGGGTGAGTACTGGATTTGAGTCTCCTGAAAAGACCCGCCCTGCCAACCCCTCTCTCCTTCCTTCCTGGCTTTGTGTACACTGCTTGTGAACACAGTAGGGAGCCATTAGTCAAGACTGTCAGCGGTAGCCAAGCGGGGTGGAAGGAACCCCACGCCTGCTCCCTGTCAGTTCTTCACTTCTGGCTGGTGACTGGGGGGGTAGGGAATTTGACCTGCCTCCCTCAGGTTCTTCACTTTGTTCAAGGAGAGTATGAAAACAAGGAGACCGCAGATGTGAGAGTATATGTAAGGGCTGGAGAGATGGATGCTTAGAGGTTGAGAGGACCCTCTTCCTGCTCTCCCAGAGGTTCAGACCCCAACTCCTAGCACCCATCCTGGGATGCTCGCAATGCCCTGTAACTTCCAGCTTCAGGGAGAATCAGTCCATCCCTCAGGCTTCCACGGGCACCAGCGGTTATACACACACACTACACTTTCGCATGCGCTCGTCCGTGCACATCACACCCGCCATGTTTATTACATAAAATCTTAGAGAGAGAGAGAGAGAGAGTGCAGGGGGACCACTTTGTAGATGTCCCATACAAACCACACTACAGCCTATAGCTGTTATCAGGAGGCAATGCCCAGGGGTAGGAGAACAGGGCTATGGGGCAGACCTTTGACCTTGGCCAGGGTGCTTGGTATTCCTTATCCATTCAAAAGGCAGACATCATTCTCATGTTATCTGGGTTCACTGAGTACACCCAGAGCACCCCCCCCCCACTTAACACTCCTGGTTACCAGGGAGTCAGTGCATGATGGTTCCCCCCTTACGTCAAGTCTCGCCTTTCTCACAGAGCATTTGAGGAAGGAAGAGCTGAGGACGGCCCTGCGGGCTTTGGGCTTCATTTGCTTGGGCCTTTACTCTCAGTACTGGCTGTTCATGAATGTGTCGGGCTTCAAAGACCCCAGTTCAGCACTGGTCTGCATGCTGCTCGCCAGATCCCTGCTGGCCCACCCCTATCTCCATGTCAATATCTTCCAGGTAAGCCCCGGGGGTCCTGGATTCAGCCAGTGAAGAGGACCATTTATTTACAGGATTCTAGCGGCAGGCAGGCAAGACCCAACATTTAGGGAGAGAGGTCACCAAAGGAGGCTTCCCCCAATTCCTGCTCCTCTCCTGTTACTGGGGGTCATCCCAGGAAGTTGGGGTTTCCATGAGGCCTTTGCCTGGTCCTGGTAAGACCCTCTCTGCTTCTTCTCCAGTCTGAACCCTATGCGTGATTCAGGGTCAAGCTTGTGCCTCCTGTTTCATTCCAATAGTGTGTATAAGCACCTTCCCCGCTAGGCGCCACCCTGGGTCCACAGGACTTGGAGGTGAGCACGTGCTTCCCTCGAATAAGATGTGCAGATGGGACACAATGAGAGAATGAAGACAGTAGCTACTGCTGTGCTGCGTGTCAGGTGTCAAGAGATCTAACGGAGTTTTTATCCATAGGGCCCTAGGAAGATCTCCCTATAGATGCCAGAGTTGAGTGCTGAACTCCTGGCTGTTCTCAAAGCCCCTCCATCTCCCGCCCTGTCCTTAACCTGCCTCATGCCATTGGCTGGGCCCTCACTTTGCTCTACTTGAGCATAGGTGTGAGGCATATAGGATCACAAGAGCAAGCAGTGAGAGTCACGGACATCTCAATACCCAGGCTCTGAAAAAATGCATGGGCAAAGCCCTTCACTGTCCGGACAGAGGCGCAGATGTGGGAGAGACCGGCTCATTGCAGACTGGGTTAGCACAGGAGCTGGGCTAGAGCTCCAGACTTTCACGCCTGTAGGGTCCCACGGGCCCCTGTATGCATGGTGAAGATGACCTAGGGTTGCCTGAGCCCCCGTAGGGTGTGACCCGTATGTCTGTCGCAGCACATTGGATTACCGATGTTCTCACTGGAAAAGAAGCCCAGGCGGATTCACATGATGACCCTGGGTGTTCTGAACCTGCCGCGGCAGCCGGTGCTGGACTGGGCATTCGGCCACTCCCTCATCAGCTGCCACGTGGAGCACCACCTCTTCCCTTGGCTCTCTGACCACATGTGCTTGAAGGTAGGCAAAGGCTGGGCGGTGGGGCGGAAGGGCCCATCTGAGGGTGGGCAGTAGAAACCTCTGGGTACATCTGAACCCCAAGCCCCATCATTGGCCTCTTTGAAAGTCACCCAGGAAGGGTAGCCAGGAGTACAAGTGACAGCATGGATTTTAGATCAGAGTCACCTGAGTTTCCTAGTAGCGGTGTGACTCTGGGCAAGTTCACTGAGCCTTAGTTTCCCTGTCTGTAAAATGGGAGGGGACAGAGTTCACCCTGATGGCTTTGTGGATGAAATTAAATTTGAAACGTTTGACCCAAAAAAGATGCTTGGCAGATTGGGGGGGGGGGGTGTTCATCCCTTGGGCTCTGGAGGATGGACACGCAGTCAAGAGTCTTGGGGGAGGAGGGCAAGAGGCCATTCCTACCCTCTGGGGTATGGTAGAAAAATGTACCAGCTCATCCACACCTCAGCTCCTTGCTCTCCCAAACAGGTTGAACGAAGGAGACCTGGGGGGGTGGGGGGTTCGGGGGCAGGCCTGTGACTCTGAGGGCTCTTCTGCGACTCTCTCTCAGGTGAAGCCCTTGGTATCGAAGTTTCTCCATGACAAGCAGCTGCCCTATAATGAAGACTCATACCTGGCTCGATTCCAGCTGTTCCTCAATCGCTATGAGGAGTTCATGGTGCATGTCCCGCCCATCACTGAGCTGGTGGGGGTGCAATGAAGGCTGGGTGCCCTCCCTAGCCCGGTCCTGGCTCTCCTGTACTGTTGGCCCTGGGTGGGGGGTGGAGGGGGACGGGACTGGTAAACCTGGAACTGTCCTGGGATTTGAGTTAAGGGAGACGGCTGGGAGAAGAAAAGAAAGCGATCCAGAGGCTGTGTCCTGATCCACCTACGCCTCAGCTGACTCCATCTCAGCATCCTTCCTTCTGCTGCATTGGAGCCAGAGGGTAGGGCTAAGGGGACTGGTGACAGGTGAGGTGGGATCCTATGTCCAGTAGGACTCAGACCTCCTTGGTGCCCAGGCTGCTGCTTCCTCCTGAACCTTCTGAGGTTCTAGTCCCCGGGGCCCTCACCCTAGGGTCAACAGGGTGAGGTCATTATTTTTAGCAGATTCTCTCGCCCCCCGGCCCCCTGCTCTTGAACTGAAGGAGTCTGTGCCTCACTGGGCTCAGCAGCTCCAGGACCTGCAGACTCAGTGAGATGAAAGGGAGTCTATTTCCAGGGAAGTGCTCCAGAGGGGAGCAAATGCAGGTGCAAAATTGGAGAACGCACTGCCAGCTTTGAGCGTGACCTTGGCTAGCTCTGAACAACTCTGCTTTGTTCCATGTTCAGAAGACTCCAACCTGGGTGACAGAATGACTGAGAGGCTGGAGAGGGTGACCTGGAACTGGGCTAGGAGGGCAGAGAGGAATGAAAAGGGGTGATGGGTGGGGGTGGGATGATATAGGAGAGTTGAAGACAAGGGCTAGGCTTGGCTATGGGAGGGTTGCAAGCTGGGTGGAAATATGGTGGAGCCACTGATGCCAAACCTAGGAGGAAGCCAAGCTGGGGAACAACACTGAGATCCAGCCAAACGGGGAACGGAGAGAGGCTGGACACTGCTTCAGCCAGACGGTAGAGCAGAGAGGTTCATGGAAGGGCCCAGCGGAGACTGAAGGAAGGACAGATGAGGTTAGACCTGAATGCACCAGGAGGCCAAGGCCATTGTTAGGTCATAGCCTAGCTTCTTGCCTTCCCCCGGCTGACATTTTCTTTGGCTAATTCTTGGCAGGCTGTGCTGAGCACTGGCTCCTACTGACTCGATGCTGGGACCCCAAATCCTGATAGTCAAAAATGTCTCCTGGTATAGACAACTGTCTCCCAAGTGACAAAACTGTTCTTGATTGAGAACATGCAGGCTATTCTTCTAGTTACCTCACTGGATGGAAGGGTGTGTTGCCCTGGTGATGGGAGGGCAAACTGGGATGGGCCTGTTGGAACCCATCTCTGGGGGCAGATGTTGCCTAGACAGATGCAGCTGCCACTGGACTGACAATCCTTCCTGTCTTCTCCCGGCCCTCCTCTAGCGGAGAGCACAGCTTCTCCCAGGGCTCTTTCCTCCAGCTATGGCTCTTGGGCAGCCTCTCCCTTGGTCTGCTTCTGGGCAGGGTCTGGCCTGGCAGAGCTTTTAGCTGCTGCTGGCCCTTAGGTGCTTCTCTGGCTTCTTATCTCTGCTCAGGACTCTTCACTCATCCCTGTTGAGTGTGAGCCATCTGTTCACTGCTGGGATGCTGGGACGCTCGCTCACAGCAGTTTTGGATCCAAGCCACCCCCTCCTGCTTTGCTGTAGACTATTGCTGCTCATCTGAAATGCATTAGCATTCAGTTCAGGAGGGGCCTTAAGGTCTGAGCGTGTGATTGATTCATCAACGGCAAATTCTCCCTCTGAAAAATGCAGAAAAGGGTCCTGGCAGCATACCGTAAGCTAATGATTAAAACTATCCAAATATACCACCAGTGACTCAGTGTTATTGATCTAGGCCTGAATGGGGTTCATTCCAGAGCGGCAGCTGGAGGCCCTGATATCAGACCTGTCTATACATACACGGACACACCAGGAACAAGTCGCTTAGGTTCTCTGAAAAGGGACTATCTGTTAGTCTAAAGGTGCGGGCTAGGAATACAGAAGTAAGGGAACCAGTGTGAGTGCCGAAGCACCTCCAGGGCTCTGACGTCCGTGGTCTAACAGAGACCAGCAAAAGGGGACAGCGGCGCTGATGACAGTCACAGCTAATGTTTTCTTAACACAAACGTAGACTAATTTGGTTCTGTTTTTGTTGTTTTGTTTGTGAGACAGGGTCTCGCTATATAGGCCTTAGCCTTGTCTGGAACTCAATTGGTGGGTGGCTGGCCTCGAACTCACAGAAATGCATTTGCTTCTAACTCAGTGGCTCTTGACTGTCCTAATGCGTCATACCTGTAATTTGCTTAATGTGGATATCTTCTACGCAGGACCCCTGGCAAACGGTCGTCATGACCCACAGGTTGAGAATCTCTGCTCTTCCTCTCCCTTCAGAGTGCTGGGAATAAAGGTATCCCACTAGGCCAGGCTAGATGCTTGTATCTGTCATCTAATTTTAATCTTTCTCATATTATAAATGGGGAAAAAAGAAGCTGACATGAAACCTCTCAACATCATGACTGTGAAATTCAGACTAGGGATTTGAACTGCATGGCTCCAGAACCCATGTTGGTGACCCTCAGAGATGCTGCTTCTGAACCGGAAGCCCTATAGAGATTTTGGGTGTCTGAGCCTAAATGTCCAACTCCTTCTTCTACGTGACAAGATATCTGGTGGTTTTATCATTTTTCCCTGAGACATGGTTTCTCTGTGTAGTTCTGGCTGTCCTGGAACTCCCTCTGTAGACCAGGCTGGCCTCAAACTTAGAGATCCACCTGTCTCTGCCTTCTGAGTGCAGGGACTAAAGCTGTGCATCACCACGTCCAGCTAAAATAAACTCTTCAGGGACTGATGCAGAGGCTCAGTTGATAGAGTGTCTGCTTAGCATGCAGAAGGCCCTGGGGTCAGTCCCATCACTGCTTAGACCAGGTCTGGTGGTACATGCCAGTAACTGCCAGCACTCAGGAGGTAGAGACAGGAAGATCAGGCAAGGTCATCCTCAGCTACATAGCAAGTCAAGGCTAGCTTGGGCTACATGACACCTTGTCTAAGAGAAAAAAAATAGAAAAAGAAATTCCTTATGACTAGCCATGGGATTACTGGCCACTGTGTGACTCTCTGGGGATGAGTGAACGAGACTGCCCCTGTGGCTCGCCACCGTCATGAAGCCTGCAGTCCAGTGCAGGGGGTCAAATTCTATGAAAAGGGCCAGATAAATAGTAGTTGTGAACAATGTGATCTCTGTCACAACTACTCAACTGTGCCCCCAAAGTGGCATTGCCATATGAACATGCCCCCAGGGCTCAGGGACACCCCCCCCCAAGCCTGTCAGAGCTAGAGGTCGGGGAAGAGCAGAGCAGAACGCTGTCTTCTGGACATGACAGGACTCCTGTACTAATGAACTCACAGCAGCCGGTGGCTGCCGACACAAGATAAAGCCAGTGAAGGTTACAGCATAGAGGGGCATCTTAGCTAGGGTTTCTACTGTTGTGAAGAGACAATATGACCACTCTTAAAAAGGAAAACATTGTATTGGGGCTGGATTACAGTTCAGACATTTAGTCCGCTACTGTTGGGGTGGGCAGCATGGTGGCATGCAGGCAGACACGGTGCTGGAGCGGGGCTGAGAGTTCTATAGGATCTTCAGGGAGTGGGAAGAGTGACACTGGGCCTGACTTAAGCATCTGAAACCTCAAAGCCCACCCCCAGTGACACAGGTCCTCCTACAAGGCCACACCTCCTAATAGTGCCACTCCCCACGAGCCTGTGGGAGCCCTTTTCATTCAAACTGCCAAAAAGGGAGAAGAGTTTACAAACTCCTGTTGCTAACTGAGGTTTTACTGACAACTGATGTTTCCTGGGGAGGGTGAGTAAGTTTTCTTTAAGGGTGTGGCCCCTGGTAAGTCCACCATGCTATGAGTATATGGGCAACAGGACCTGGATTCAGTGGGTTATTAAAAAAAACAAAAACCATGAAGTTGCAGTTGTGGGGTAGATCTAGGAGGGACTGAGGGAGAAACAGGGCATGAATAGAATCAAATACATTATATAATTTTTTTAAAAAAATGTATTAAAAAAATGAACATGGTATTGTACCAATAAAACTTTATTACTTATAAGCGGGTAAGTTTCATGTCACAAAATTTTAACTATGTGACCATTTAAGATGGCTCAGTAGTTAAGAACACTTGCTGCACTTGCAGAGGATCAGAGTTCAGTTCCCAGCACCCATGTCAGATGGTTCACAACTACATATAACTCAGGTTCTAGTGGCTTCGAAGCCCTCTGTCTCCAAGGCGGCAGCACATGGCAGACAGACAGGTATATATATAAAAAATATAGAGAGAAACTGGGCAATAATGGTGTACACTTTTAATCCCAGAACTCAGGAGGCAGAGGCAGGTGGATCTCTATGAGTTCAAGGCCAGCCTGGTCTACAGAGTGAGTTCCAGGACAGCCAAGGCTACAGAGAAACACGATCTTGAAAAACAAGACAAAAGAACAGTACATATGTAAATAGATTATTGCTGGAGAGATGGCTCAGTGGTTAAGAGTATGCACTGCTTTCTCCAAAGGTCCTGAGTTCAATTCCCAGTATGCACATGGCAACTCACAACTGTCTGATGCCATCTTCTGGTGTGCAGATGTACATGCAGACAAAATATCCATCTACATACGATACATAAATAAACAATTTATATACAGGCCTGTGGGCAGCATTTAACTTGCCTACTAGTCTTCTGGGACAGGTGTAAGACATAATGACATATTAGATGTCATTATATTAATATTAATAATATTAATGATATTTACCTCTCAATAAGAAAGTGATGGAACCGGTCGATGGTGGCGCACACCTTTGCTCCTAGCACTAGGGAGGCAGAGCAGATCTCTTCGAGTCCAAGGCCAGCCTGGTCTACAGAGTGAGTTCCAGGACAGCTGGGGTTACACAGAGAAACACTGTCTTGAAAAACAAAGAAAGAAAACAAAACAAAAAAAAGTGGGGAGTGATTAGTAAAGCAGAGGATTCTGGGATACTGACTGTGCTTGGGTTCTCAATCTGGGTGTGGGTCACATTACTATACCTTACGATCTCATAACCCATCAACTATGGTTATATGTGTACTTTTCTGTATGTTAAACTTCACCTAAAAATAATCTTCATCTTTGTTGTTGTTCGTCTTCTTTCTGTAGACCAGGCTGGATTTGAACTCACAGATCTGCCCACCAAGTGCCACCAGGCCTGGCTAAAAACATTCTTAAACTAGTGTAAAAAAATATGAAATATAAAACAGGGGAAACTTCTGGATTATTACACTCCTACACAAGGCTCCAACAGACCAGCCTAAAAGTCGAAATGGACTCATTCACCATGACGTTCACCAAGCTGACACCCAGCCATTCACCTTGCCCAAGAAATCCAGATTACAGTCAGGCCAGTTTCTGTTGGTATGACGACATTCCCACCACCATTTATCTCTCACAAAAGAAGTGACATACTGTTTGTGAGATCAAGTGTCACTCTGTAGCCCAGGCTAGCTTTGGAGTTGAATTATGGAATACGAAATTAAGCTAGGGGAAGGAGGTGCAGTTAAAAGGTAGAGCAATTTTGTAAGTCCCTGGGTTCAATCTTCAACAAGAATAAACAAGAATCAGATGTTGTGGGGTTGAGAGGTTAGTCTTCAAAGAATGAGAAGGACCCTCAGAGAAGCACTGGGCTTGTTTGGTCAGAGGTGAGAATGGATCTTGCCCGTATTTTAATTATATTTTTGGTGGTGTGATTGGTCTTGTGCACATTAAGCCTTCTACCGTCCTGTGCAGAAAATATTTGTGAGTCGTCAAGAGGGTAAAGTTGCTTGCCCCCAGGCCTTAAAGGAGTCTGATACCCAGGAATTCACGTAAGAGAACCAACTCCTATAAGCTGTCCTCTGACTACCACATACCATCCGAACGCTGTGGCATGTGTACACCGGGCCCCATAATGTAATAAAATATATAAATGTAAAAAACATTAAAAAATATATCGCTTTTATGTTTTTGCGTCAACTTTCTTTTAAAACATGTAATATGAATGATTTACCTTGATTACTGAGCTTTTGGGTGCCCCCTAAAGGTACGGTTGGATCGGGGTTGAAGGTCAGGCTCTGTCTCAGTGCCACAGGGGACCCTCTTCGCGTGTTTCCTCCCCCATAATGGGAAGAAAGTGATTAGAAATAAGCTCTTGAGAGTTTAATACTTTCCCTGCTGTGACACACACAGCAACTGTTTGAGGCCTCATCAGTTCAACATCCAGATTTAAAAATCAAAGATCCTAGATGGGGGGGGGAAATACGAGAGACTTCCGGGCTCTGGCTTCCTGATTGGCTGATACAAAAATCACTCAAGCAGGAAGCCACCCTATCAAAAGGCAACGTAGCATACGTCATCAGCGAGCGGCACGCTTTACGTAAAGTAAGCTCTTTTCTAATTGGCTCCCTTCTCCAAGAACAACTAAAACAGCTTAGGGGATTCGCGTTTCTTCAAATCTAGTCTTCCGGCATCTGGAGGGACCAGGAAGACGGGAGAAATTTGTTAAGCTTTTGAGGGTTGGACGTTCTGGGGGCGGAGCCTTAGTAAAATAGAGGCGTGGTTCTCTTTGGGGGCGTGATTATTGTGGAAACGGCGAAGTCTCAAAGTTGAACTTTCTAAGCGAGCGTGAGGTGAGGTTTGGGGCGTGGCTACAGTGATGGGCGGGTCCAGAGGAGCGTGCCCCGAGGGCTGCAGTACCTGCGCTCAGCTCTAAAGAGTCATTGCTAGCTGTTCCGCTTGCTGGTTGCTGTTCTCAGCCATGGCTCCTCGCTGCTGGCGCTGGTGGCGTTGGTCCGCGTGGCCTGGGGTTCGGCCGCATCCCTCCAGGAGCACTCCGAGTAGGAGCAGGGCTCTTGGGGCTGCACCAGGGCGAGGGGAGGCCTGTGATCAAGAGCGGGGGTGGGGGGTCCGAGCAGAGCTGAGGCAGGGCTGGAGAGGGGCAAAGCTGAAAGTGTCTGCTCTTGCGGGAAAAATGGGAGTGGTGTAGAAGGGAGAATCTGTGCGATGAGATGGCTGGGTAAGACAGGCTAAAAGGGTAAACCATGAGGTCCTCCTGTGTGATACGACGTGAATGGAGGTGACAGGCAATTCTGAGGTGAGGTTATGAGCATATGAGGATATAAGAAGGAATAGAAAAAAGCAAGATAGAAACGTGATGGGGTTATGAAGATGTGAGATCACACAGGAAACATCACAAGAAGTATGAAGTGCTGTCGCAGGACAGCTCCGGGGGATAAGGGGGTCTGGGGCAGATTATCATCATTGTTCGTGGGTGAGGCATGGGGTTCTGGATAAAGACAGCTCTGGCATTCAGATGAAGTGGTGAAGCTTTGAGGAACAGAAAAAGGAAGATGCAGGTGAGGGCGAAGGGCAAGCTGCAATTGCACAGAGTTGCACAGAATTGGTTTGGGGTGGTAGGAGAGTGTTGATTTGATCTTGCTGTCCCCTGCTCTGTCTAGCCCCAGGTTTCTGCCGGCACTTCTCCACAAAGGAGAAGACCCCTCAGATCTGTGTGGTTGGCAGTGGCCCAGCTGGCTTCTACACAGCCCAACACTTGTTAAAGGTGAGTGAGTCACTCCCCCCAGGCTCCCTTCTCACTGTTCATTTCTCGCCCCAATTCTGGGAGTAGGCTCCAGCCCTTTGGTTTGCCTGGCAAAGAAGGGGCTTCCGACTCATGTAAGCTGTGTCCTTTCTACCTGATTCCACAGGTACAGCTGACGCTCCCTATGGCCTCAGCTGTAAGAGAAATGTGTTTGTCCCATGGATGGTGGTCAGGGACAGATGGGCCGCTGTGCCCACTTTGCAGGAAAGTCTTTTCAGTCTTATGGGATGGCTTCAGCCTCCCCTTGTCTGTACGCCTCATCTCCAGCATTTTACATTTCAAGGCCATCTTGTCCGCAGCTTTGCCCCCCCCCCACTCCCCACAGCCCCAGCCCTCCCCATACTCATTCTCTTCTATTAAAGGCCAAGGTCTCAAAGTTTTCAGTATTAGTCATGCCAGATAAGCCCCCAAGGCCACCAGATTTACTGGAAACTCTATCTCAAATCTTAAAGCAAAAGAGGAAGGAAGCAGGGGGCTTCAGAGAAGACTCCATGGTTAGGATGCTGTCTCACAGAGGACCAAAGGATGGGAGTTGGGTTCCCAGCACCCACACAGTGGCTCAAAACTCAGCTCCAGGAGACTTAGTGTTCTCTTCTGGCCTCTGCTTGGCCCTTTATTCTTGCACATAACTAAAAATGATAAAATAAGTATTTCTTAAAAGTAAGGGATACTGAGATTGACTGAGACGAGGCAATGTCTGAACTTTAGAAGGGCTTGTAATACCAACAGGACAGAAGAAATGATTCTATTGATAACACATGCAGATATTTGACAGGCAGAGTGACCCAGTGGCCTGGTTTCCCTGGGGCAGTCACTACGAGGGTCTCATAGAGACCTCTGCTGAGAAGTGACCTATGGATAACTGTGCAGCTGCATACCAAGATATACACAGGTCAGCATGATCAGAAGCTGTCCCCTAGGGAATGTACATCTCAGATGCACTGAAGACCATGTGTGGGCTTCGGCAAGCTCCCTGGCCCCGATATGAGTCAGCCTGGGCTCTGGGATGGAGACTCAGGGGTTCTCAGAGTTGAGGTGGGTAGGTGGGTGGTGTGGTTGGTATCAGGGAGAGTATTTGTAAGGGACACTGAGGGTGAGGGAATAGGACCTAGAAGGCAGGCGTCTTCTTGGTGTCTTCTCAGTGGGCCTGATCTTACCCTGCCAGCATGTGGGCTGCTTACGGAGCTGACAGTGTAGCTTGAGACAGCTGGTTTACAAGGTATTTTAGGGCCTAAGCTGAGGGTGGGGAGAGATAGAGGGGAAGGGTAGCCCAGTCTAGAGGGAGAGGTATCCAAATGGCATTTTATGGAGGACGTGAGAATGAGTAGCAGGAGAGTCTCAGGAACGAGGAATTATGTGGACCTAGGCTGGAGGAAGGAGAGTAGTCCCTGAGCAGCATCCCAGAGCCTATTCCAGAAGACGTTGCATATCCGAGGGGTGAAGAGGTGAGGTCCCAGACCACAAGGTACCTAGGAACCACTGACCACATTGTAGACCTGAGTGGCTTTCTGTGAGCACTCGCCATATTCCCTACTGGAGAAGTTTTATTTAAATAAGCATTTCTGGGTCCAGCTCAGACTTAACCAAACTCTATGACTAGGACTCTCGGAATCAGCAATTTTAAGCAAACACCCTGGTGGAGATAGGGGGAGGATTCTGACACAGATATAGGAAACAGGCCTCAGTGAATCATCTCAAGCAGATGGGGAGAGGGGGGATGTCTCAGTGGATGTCATCCTTGGGGGATGTCTAAGAGAGCATACGGCTCTGAGTTTGGTTCCCAGCACTCACAACAGGTGGCTCACAACCATCTCTAACTCCAGGGGCTCTGAACCCACCTCCTGGTCTCTTCAGGTGCCTGTACTTATGTGCATACGCTCCACACCCACATACGGATAACTTTAAAAAAAAACATATTTAAGGAAGGAAAAACAAGGAAGCCTCTATTGGGGATGGACCGCAGGGCCTTGTGAGTGACAGACGGACATCTGACCCCTTAGCTACTCCCCCAGCCCACTTTTCATTGGGAACGTCCTCTCTGATGGGTAGACTTAAGCATGGCGGTTTGCCCAGAGAACAAGAGAGTGGGGGAAAGGATGTAGACCGAATAGGTCAGTGTGAAAAGGGGAGGTCCAGGGCTGTGGCCGGAGTTCCGGGGGTGGAGGTGAAAGGAAACACGGATAGAGGGGAAAGGGCAGAGGACAGGAAATGGGCCTCGATTTGTGGAGTGAGGCATGCTGGATCTCAGATGGGAAAAGAAATGGGGGGGAGGAGAGGCCACATCAGGCCTACAAGATTTGAGGTTACAGGAGGGAGGACGTAAGGCTTCCCTAGGACATAGAGAGTGTGTGTCCAGGAGGAACAGGGGATCCCAGAGCAGAAGTGCTTCCAGGACTGTCCATCTTAGGAAAAGGGCCAGAGAAGCAACAGTTGGCAGTGGGAAAGAGGGGTTTCTTGAAAGATGGGTCTGTGTGTGAGATCAGGGCTACTGGGGACAGGTAGGTGGGGAGGGAACCTTGTGTCCGGAAGGAAGACTCCCTCTGCAGCAGGATGGAGTGGAAGGTGGAGACAGTGAGGTCAGGGTGTGTCAGGGATGGCTAAGCAGGCTAAGCAGCGTGAACTCTCACCTGTGGCCCTGAGAAGGGGTGATGCAGAGGGGGAAAGTCACAGCTGTTAAGGTCCTGAGTGAATCCCTTGTGTCCTCACATGGGGAGGGGCGCAGGCCAGCTCTTGAGTCTGACTCACTCAGCCTTGAGTGTGATCCAGAGGGACGGGACATTGTAGTGCACAGAACTGCACAGAACCTTTCCCCAGGACACAGCAGGTAGTGGTGGGACTGGCCACAGCTCTGTGGCTGTGGGCTTCACATAGAACCTTTCCCCAGGACACAGCAGGTAGTGGTGGGACTGGCCACAGCTCTGTGGCTGTGGGCTTCACATAGAACCTTTCCCCAGGACACAGCAGGTAGTGGTGGGACTAGCCGTGGCTCTCTGTGGCTTCACGGCTACAGTTCTCCATGAGCTTTCCATAGCTTCAGTTTCCATGGAGTGTGAGCAAGGCCATTTGGGAGGCCACTTAGGGGCTGGCCAAGGACAAACTCGCAGACAGGCTAGAGGGGCTGGACTTACGGCAGGTGAGTGGGATTTAGCCGAAGGTCAGGAGAGATAGGCAGGAACTCATCCGCCTGGATTCCTTCTGAGCTGGCTGGAAGAGGTCAGGGCACAGGTCGCTGTTACCCAAACTACTCTCTTCCCTGACTCACCTTCCCCAAGGCCTCCCACTTCACAGAGAAGGAGACTGAGGCCCAGGGTTGTTCTGGGACTTACCAGGCCCTTGCTGTTGGTGGCAGCAGAGCCAGACCAGACTTATTTGACTAGTTCCAATCTCAGACCTTCCCTATACCCTGCAAAGAGCCTTGGGAGGACAGGTGGCATGGGGCAGCTGAAATAGCCAGACTGATTTTCTAAAGCTGGGAGTAGCCCCACTGCTACCTCCTCTGTCCCCACATGCCCCAGCTGTGCCCCATTTTCTCTGTCCCCGACTCCCCATTTTGCTGGTCCCTGTCCCAGTGGTGTCATCTTGGAGACTTAGAGCTAAGGCAGGTCCTCAGGTCACAGGGCCAGCATGTCATGACGTCCTTCAGAAGTCTACATCTGACCTGAAGATGAAGTCCTGACACTTCAGTTCCTCACATTCTCTGTTGGAAGTCCCTGAGATCCGACCTCAGCGTCTCTTGTTTCTCTGTTCCTGGAGAGCCCTTATCTGGGCAGAAGGAACGCCGGGGCTTTCTTTCTGCTCATGGATGGGTAGAGCCAGTCTCCTTGGCCATTTGAGCTGGGTTTTCTTGCTTTGTGTTGGGAAGGGTGGGCCTGTTAGGGGCCCAGCCTCCCCCTGGAACCCACCGGCTGTGTTTCTCCTCAGCACCACACCCAGGCCCACATAGACATCTACGAGAAGCAGCTCGTGCCCTTTGGCCTGGTGCGCTTCGGTGTGGCACCTGACCACCCTGAAGTAAAGGTGGGTGCCGCCTGGGGTGGAGGGTCGTGTTGGAGATGGTGAAGATGAGGGTAGAGAGGCTTCCTGACATAAGAGGCCCATTCTGGGCATCAGGACTGACGTGTTCCCAGGAGCCACCCCACCTTCTAATGTTCCTGCCCCCATGCTTCATGGCAGAATGTCATCAACACGTTTACACAGACAGCCCGCTCAGACCGCTGTGCCTTCCGGGGCAATGTGGTGGTGGGCAGGGACGTGTCGGTTCCAGAGCTTCGGGAAGCCTACCATGCTGTGGTGCTGGTGAGTGCCCTGGGGGCGTGGCTATGAGGGGCGGGGCCGCGGGAGGCAGGAGACTGGTGCTGAGGCCCAGGGCATGGCTGCATCTTTCCTCAGAGTTATGGAGCAGAGGACCACCAACGCCTGGAAATTCCTGGCGAGGAGCTGCCTGGAGTGGTCTCAGCCCGAGCCTTTGTGGGCTGGTACAATGGGCTTCCTGAGAACCAGGAGGTGAGTTTGAGGGATACCCCTGTTGCTTCCGGCTGGAGTCAGGGCATCCCCGAGGTGTTAGATTTAGAGGTCAAGGCAGTGAGGAGAAAGCTGAGGTTGATGTGAGACATCAGAGGCTGAGGCAGGTCAGCTGTGGAGACCTTCTGTGGGGCTTAGGGAGAGGGAAGTGGGGTAGAGTGAACTGCCTAGGGCAGCCTGGGGGCACAGCAGACACGGCCTAAGGTCTCTGCAGATGAGATTAGCCTAACTGGGACTGAGGATAAGGACACCCTATCAAGACCTTTCTCTTCCAGCTGGCGCCGGATCTGAGCTGTGACACAGCCGTGATTCTGGGACAGGGGAATGTGGCCCTGGATGTGGCCCGGATCCTGCTGACCCCACCTGAGCACCTGGAGGTGAGGGGTCAGTCAGAGGCTGGAGGGATGGAGGTGTGAGCACACTGAGGAAAGAATGCCCCTGCCGGGGTGATTCAGGTCTCATCCCTCCCAACAGCCCAGCGCCTGTTTCCTGCAGGAGCCCAGGGAAGATACCTTCACACCCCAGTGCTCCCTGGGGATTTACACACACACTCTCCTTCTTCGGAACATCTGGACTGACCTCCCGCTAGTTAAGAATTTACATCCCTCCCCCTTCTCATTCTTGGCTCAGCTATCCCTTCTGCCAGGAGGTTTTCCAGGCCGTCCTGTGTAGGTGTCCCTTCTGCGATATGGGTTCAGCCACTAGTCACCTTCCGATCCAGAGTCTTGCTTCACTTCTTCAGGTTTACATTGATGAGATTCGATGGATCTCTCTCTCTCTCCCTACAAAATAAGAACTATATGAGGCTCCAAATTAGCCTGTTTAGTTCCAGACATGTGATAGGCTGTCAGCAAAACCTTACTTGCATACCTAGGAGCCATTTGCAGGATTGGCGTCAATGCTCTATGTGGCCACCAGGGGGAGTAGTGGTATAGTTTTTGGGCCGATGGATTTCTCTACTCTAGATCAGAGTGGGAACAGACCAACTAGCCTCACAAGTCCCATTTTTCCAAGTCAAGCCCTCCTTATCCTTCTTTTGACCAAATATATCAAGACAAAATATATAGCCTTGGCTGGTCTGGAACTCACTGTGTGGATCAGGCTGGCCTCGAATTCACGGAGATACCCATTCCTCTGTCTCCTGGTTCACTGTGCCTGGCCCTTAAGAGCCTCCTTTTGTGCCAGAAAACAGACATCACAGAGGCTGCATTACGGGTCCTGAGGCAGAGTCGGGTGAAGACCGTGTGGATAGTAGGCCGGCGTGGACCCCTGCAAGTAGCCTTCACCATTAAGGTACTGGGCCCGGAAGGGGAGGAGCCAGGGTCCTAAGTAAAGGTTTCCACTTCATGTGTGTTTGGAGTGCTGCAGAGCCCTTGGGAGTAGCTGCTTCCTTGGATGAAAGGGGAGTGGACAGGGCCCGAAGGCTGTGGTCTTTCCCCACACTGTGATGGTTTCTCCCACCAGGGCTGAACTCTGGCAGGCCCAGAAGTGCTCAGTGCTCTGGACCTGACCTCCCTCCCTTCCCCCATCTCCACCCTCAAGGAGCTTCGGGAGATGATTCAGTTGCCAGGAACCCAGCCCATTTTGGATCCTTCGGATTTCTTGGGCCTCCAGGACAGAATTAAGGGTGAGGGGCCAAGTCCAGCCCCCCAGCTCAAAGGAAGGGGATGTCTTATGTCAAGTAAGGCTTGGAGACAGGTGACCAGAGGGACACCCCTGAAGTATTCCATGTTGCTGACAGATGTCCCTCGTCCAAGGAAGCGACTGACAGAACTCCTGCTTCGGACAGCCACAGAGAAGCCAGGAGCGGAAGAGGCTGCCCGCCAGGCCCTGGCCTCCCGGGCCTGGGGCCTCCGCTTTTTCCGAAGTCCCCAGGAGGTGCTACCCACCCCAGATGGTCGACAGGTAGCAGGCATCCGCCTGGCAGTTACCAGTCTGGAGGTGAGTCTCATGTTACCCAGACTTCCCCTTTTTAGGCTTCCGGCATCCCATCCTGGCGTTACCCACACTCTCCCCGGCAGAGTTCTGGAGAGTCCACTCGGGCAGTACCCACAGGAGATGTGGAGGACCTCCCTTGCGGGCTGCTGCTGAGCAGCGTTGGATACAAGAGTCGCCCCATCGACCCCAGCGTGCCCTTTGACCCCAAGCTTGGAGTCATCCCCAACATAGAGGGCCGGGTTGTGAATGTTCCAGGTAAGATGGTGAGCGAAGGCGGGGCATCTGAGTACGAGGGGAGGCTGGAGCGCCAAGACCACACGGTCTACACGGATGTGCTCTGAGACAGCTTCAAGACAGGCCCAGTTCTAGAACAGAGCCCTCCTTCCTCCTGCCCCCTGGGCCAAATGCTCAGGCAAGCTGGGCCATCATTCAGTAAAAGTTTGCTGAGGCCAGTGCTGACACTGGAGGGAGATCGCCCCCCTGTCCTTGGGAAGCATCGGTCGGCTTCCTCACTCGCTCATCCTGTTGTTCATTCATTTAGTAAATATCCGCTAAGGACCTGCTCAGCTGTGACGAGCAAGTCTCGGCTCATGTCCCCAGGGAGCTGCTCTTCCACAGGGAAGCTGTGGGAGGGAGGACAGTGTGGTAAAACAAGACTCTGTCATGGGCCAGGCATAATGACACATACCCATAGTCCCAGCACTCGGGAGGCAGAGACAGGCAGATCTGAGTTTGAGGCCAATCAGGTTTACAGAGTGAGTTCCAGGACAGTCAGGGATACACAGGAACCCTGTCTAGAAAAAACTAAGCAAAACAAAACAAAACAACAACAACACACACACACAAAGCTATCATGGTGAGCCAGTGGCCACAGTGGGCCCAGCCTCTGTAGTCTACTGGGAGACATGGAAGAATGTTTACATGTGTACGTGTGTATAGTTCACAATACAGACCTGCCAGGCAGTGTTCAGCCTCGCTGTCTCTGTTGCCTCTCTCAGGACTCTACTGCAGTGGCTGGGTGAAGAGGGGACCCACAGGTGTCATCACCACAACCATGACGGACAGCTTCCTCACCAGCCAAGTGCTGCTGGAGGACCTGAAGGCGGGGCTGCTGCCCTCTGGCCCCAGACCTGGCTATACTGCCATTCAATCCCTGCTTAACAGTCGAGGTCAGAACCTAATGCAGAGGGCTGGGGGTGGGGCGGGTGGCTTGTCTTTGGAGCTTTACCCTTTAGGGGGAGGGCCCTAAGGGGCTGAGAGGAGATGATGGTGCTAGCCTGGCTTCCTAATCCACTGCCTCAGGGGTCCGGCCAGTCTCTTTCTCAGACTGGGAGAAGCTGGATGCTGAGGAAGTATCTCGAGGCCAGGGCACTGGGAAACCGAGGGAGAAGTTGGTGGATCGAAAAGAGATGCTCCAGCTGCTGGGGCACTGAACCTGGACTCCAGCCCCTTACGTGCAAGAGAAGATCTGGGCAAGAGGAGGGGCCTGAGGCAATCTGGGTTGGACCTTCCTCCCATCACAGTGCTGACTGCCCTGGCTTGGAGGCCGAGCTGTGGCCTTTCCAGGGGCCTCTGAGCTCTGCCTTCTCAAGCTGACCGCCCAGTGTGGGCTTAGGCTGAGGAGGGAACCTGAAGCTAGGGATGGATGGAGGGACAGACTGACCCTACCCGTCCTGCTTCCTTCCTGATGGGCATTGGAGGGCCTCTAGAACGGAACACAGTAGAAATAAAACACAGGTGCCTAAGACCCATGATTGACAGCTACTTTTTTTTTGGGGGGGGTTGTCACTCTGTGGCCCCAGTTTGCCTGTGGCTGCTGGATGGAAATGAGGAAACGCCCTTGCTCAAGAGCCTCTTGGGGGACAGTGGGGATGGGGGTGGGGGGCATGCACCTACCCTCCCTTTCCTGTCTATTCTTTGCTGCTTTGCCTTCTCGGTCTTCAGTTCACACTTCAGTCACTGGTGATACGTCCCTTACAAGTCTGCCCTGCTGACCTCTCTGCCTGGTGCCCCCAAGACAGAGAAACAGTGACAAAAGAAGATGCCCCACTCTGCCCCTGTCTCTCCTGGGTGCTGGCAGGCTTGATCTAGCCCTCCAATCGCCACACACTTGGTGCCTTTCCATTTTCAAGCTTTCAGACAAATCCACAAGCCTTTTCAAAAAGCGACTTCAGCCTACGGCAGTTTAAGGCCTCTTATGGCAGCAAGATTCGGCCTTACTTATATACCGAAAGAGCCTCGAAATTAACTGGCCCAAGGTCACACAGCTAGGGAACTGAGGGCTCAAACCCAGGGCTTCTGGCAAACTGGTGTTTTTCTCCGAGGTTGCCCTTGCTTCTGTGCGTCGAGTCTGGGGACAGGGTCCCTGAGCAGGAGAGGGGAGAGGGGACCAGCTCGGAGCACAGGCTGGCAGGGAGGGGCCTGGACGGGCCAGAGGGGCACCGGTGGCCGGCTGGGGCGGGCCGGGGCGGGGCGGAGGCGACCGGCGGTGGCGAGCTCCATCACAGTCGGCTGGTGAGCCCCGAGAGCGGGAGGTGCGCTTTTGCGCAGCCCGGGACACAGCCCCGCCGCGGGGCGCGGGCCGGGCGCGGGGGCGGGCGGCATCCAGTCCGCGCCACCCGCACTGGTCCCGCCGCGCCCGGCTCCGGTGCCCGCCGAGCTCGCAGCCAGCGTGCCAGCTCGCAGGGGCTGGCGCTGGGACGAGCACCGCGCGGGAGACGGTCGTGGGCTCTGGGCGCGGGTGCAGCGCCCCTTCCCCGGTGAGTGGCAGCCGAGGGCTGCCGGCGAGCGGGGGGCGCTAACTTCGTAGGCAACTTAAGGGGCTCCAGTGCCGCGCGGGCAAGGACGGTGGAGACAGACGCGGGACATTCGAGACAGTCTGGCCAGCTCGGGCGTCAGAGGTTTGGGAGGCGGTGGGGGGTGGGGGGGAACCGCGACCCTCGGGAGCCGGAGTAGTGTTGTCGACCTGGGCGCAGAGGCGCAGAGGAGGCGAGGAGAGACAGGCTGGGGAGACAGACTGGCCAAGGCGGGAGGGAAGGACGCGGGCGGATAGCCTAAAGCGATTGTCCCTAGAGTCGCGGAGCCTCCTTCCCTTCGCCTGGAGCGGTAGCCGGGCTAGGCTGGGCACAGTCACCGGACGCGGGAGTCTGGATTGCCGGGTCCAACTGTTGCAGGTAGAAGCCGCTGGGGCAAGGAAGCGGGCAGGGGCCAAGAGCCAGGGCCAAGGCTGGGTTCGACCAGAGCGCGGGTAGCTGGAAAGGACACAGAGCTCGGAGAGCAAAAGCGGAGCTGTAACAGTTGGCGAACTGGTCCCTGCTGGGTACCTGCGCGCGCATCTGCCTACTTACCGACCCCCTCATTAGGGTGAGTCTCCCAGGCCCTCCGCTTCCCACTCTTGTTCTTCCCCTTACCAGGTAGCTCCTAACACTCCATCCCCTGACCTCTGACAATCAGTGGGTTTCTGGGGTGACAGGATTTTCCCAAACACTGACCCCCCCCCTTGGGTCCCCTTGGCTCTGAAGGCTCCAAAAGGAAGGTGGGAGGAAAGGCCACCGGAGAGCCTGCGCTCCGGTGGGAGAGCCTGCGCTCCGGTGCCCTGGGGCCCTGGAAGCACCGGTTGGCAGCTGTGGTCTCCTGGGGCTTCAACCAGGATCTCCGACGGCTGAGAGGAGAAGCCTGAGCCTCTGGCTGCGGAAGGCGTTTTGTGCTTGGCCTAGGCGAGCAAGGGGAGCTCCGACTACCCAAGACGAAGGCACCTAGCAGGCTGCAAATCTCCCAAGGGCTGGTTTGGCGACTCTTCAAAGGTCCTGCTGGGCGACAGGCAGAAATTCCTGCTGGGTCGGACGCTGACCCCATTTGCTCACTGTGTTTTCCAGCCCTCCCTTCCCAATGAGACATCTGGTATAGCATCCTCAGTCTTCAGATTGTGGCCCAGTCCTGGCCCCATGAGCAAACCCCCACCCCTGGCCACAGGAAAATTTGGAGAAGATGTCATGCTACTGACTTTTTTGAGCAGGTCCAGTATCTGCCTCTGAGCTAGTTTCTAAACTTGTTAAGAATAAGAACATGAAAGAGACAGGTTGGCAGGAAACTGGCTGCAGGGGGTTCACTCCGGAAGACCACCTGGGTTGGGTCCTGACCCACAGGCCCGCCTGCCAGGCTAACTCGGCCATCCCCTGCCCAAGAGCTTGAGATCCAGACCTAACTTGGGGCAGTGGGCTGGAGGCCTAGAGCTGGGGCTGGGGTTGTGGGGAGAGTTCAGGGGGTAGTGGCCAGGTTGGGGGCGCAGAGTGCGTGGTGCTCAATTTGGCCGCCAGGAGGCGTGGCGCGGGTCCCCGCGCCCGGAGTCACCGCCACTGCCGCCGCATCGCTAGTGTCCTTGAGCGGCGAGTGATGGTGGCTCTTCGGTGCTCGCGCCCCCTCCTCCCGCAGGGGCAGCCAGATGCCACGTTCCCTATGAATTATTTATCGCCGGCCTAAAAATACCCCGAACTTCACAGCCCCAGAGTAAGATTCCTACAAGGGGAGGGGGCGGGGCGCCCCCGGGGGCTGAGGGGTTTATCAGTCGGGAGAGGGCAGGTAGTATTGGAAAAGGCAGAACTCCGTGTCCCCACCAATGTGGACGACAGAGGGGCATGTCTTTCCAGGCGTCTGGGGTGTTAGTGGGGCAGAGAAGGAACGAGGGTAAGAGGAGGGTCATCACGGCGAGGTTCCCTCACTGTAAAGAATCATCAGCCTAGCTGGATGATACTAGCTTTGGTACTGGAGCTTCTGGGCCTTGGGAGTGGGGGCGCCGTTAGTGTCTCAAGTTAGTGAGTGTGTATGTGTATGCACGGCCTTGTCAGGGAGCCTGCGTGTAACTGGGGGTTGGTGGAAGCATAAGAGAAGGTCCCCGAACATGTGGGGTTGATAGAACCTTTCAAGGGGTACATAACGTCCTAAATGACTGGTCACTGCCAACCTCTCCCATGTACTTGGGGCAGAGGCTCAGCAAACACTCCTTTAAAGACTCTTTGGGGTCAACAGAGATACACAAAAGCTCAACAATGGTGGCGAGCCTAAGGAGGACCAGCTCCCAGCTCCATGCCCTGCACGGAAAGAGCAGTGGGACCCAAACCCTGTGTTTTTCTTGAGGTCCAGCGCTGATGAATCAAGATTAGAGGCCGAAGAGGGGCTCAGGTTGGGCTGTGAAAGACACAAAAGCCTTTTGTTAGGAAGAGGTTTCTGTTCCAGGAGAAAGAGCAGGAGCAAAGGCAGGAGATAAAGACTGCTTACCACTAGAGTAGCAGGGGTGAGTATCCAAGAAGACAGTGGGGTTGGGTTAGCTTGTTGGACATTGGTAGTTGATTTTGGGGTACCAGAGAGCTCTTGCACTTGACCTTTGCCACAGGGACCAGGCGGAAGTTGTGGCAGTTAGGAAGAGGATGGGAAGGAGAGGTTGGGAACCAGGGACACGGGATGGGAAGTATGCCATCTTGTGAGGAGATGCCTTGTCACACAGCTTTGTAAGCTCAGGGACCTGCTGGCTTCCAACCTGCCTCGATTTTCCTCTCTCTCCAGCCTTCACCCAGGAGGGTATTTTCATAGTGGAGGGAAGCTGTGAGGAGCAGCCTCCCTTCTGAGCTGGAAGGGAACCTAAGCCCTTTCCCCAGATTCTCGTGGTCTGGAGGAAATAAAACAGGACACTCATGTGCAGTTTTAAAGTTCCAGGTACTGGCATTAATAAAAGAGAAAAGACTCACATGTGATGAGCACATGTCTTTAATCTCAGCGCTTGGGATGCAGAGGCAGCCAGGTCTCTGTGAGTTCTGGTCTTCGAAGTGAGTTCTAGGCCAGCAGAGGCTACATCCTGAAACCCTGCCTCAAAATAAATAAATTTTTAAAAATGGAAAAAGAAACAGATAAAATTCAAATACAATGGTATTTACTTGTTTATTGGTTTTGTTTTGGTTTGGGTTTTGGTTTGAGACAGGGTTTCTCTGTGTGGCCCTGGCTGCCCTGGAATTCTCACTCCACGGACGGATGAGGCTGGTCTCAAACTCAGAGACCCTCCTTCCTCTGCCTCCTGAGTGCTGGGAGTTAAAGGCGTGCACTACCATGCCTGGCTTAGTAGTATAGTTTAATTCAATATATCCAAAATGACTGTTTTAATATGTAGTGAATATAAGAATAGTAATGGGAAGAGTTGGGAAGCTGGCTCAGCAGATAAAGAGTTTTCCAAATAAACTTGAGGACCAGTGTTTGCATCCCCAGAGCTCACGTAAATGCTAGATGGGCGGGCACTGGAGCTTGCCTGAATTCCATTGCTCTGGGTTCAAAGGAAAGGCTCTGCCTTATTGAATAAGGTGAGGTGTAAGGCAGGCCGACTTCTGATGCCTCAGGCCTCCACTTGCGCGCACACACACACACACACACACACACACACGGATATTATTGAGGTAGCTTACACACTTACATACTTTTCACGTCATCTCCCCGATATCCAGTGTGCCTGTGTGCTGATCGCATACCTCACTTTAGTGACAAGCATACTGGATGCACATACAGGCCTTCAAAGGAGCAGTGAGCGTGACAGTGCCTGTCACTGTCATGCTTGGAAATTGTACGGTCTACACCGCATGGTGTGTTGTGTCTTGGGATCTTATTCTAGACCCAATTATGCCTCTAAGCTGCCATTCACAGACACGGGGAGATGTCACATGTTTTAGTAAATCTATGGCATTCCTTCTCCGGCCGCCAATCTCTCTT